AATGGAAAGTGTTTTTTCATCAGATGCATCCTGGAAGAAAGCTTCACGTAAATAATCCTATACACTGATAAACGTAACTTCTGCATAATCCTACAATAATACAATATAAGATCTTTGTGTCTGTTTTTAGTGCATTTGCTGTTAAAAAAGCTTTACTTATGATCCTTATTCTTAAGCACAGTTTCCACCATGCTCATTGCTTAAAAGGGACAATTCAGAATGTGCACTTTCATTAAGCTCATGCACTCAAAAGAAACCGTTTTTTAAATAAAGGGTCAAAGCAATAGGGCCGAGATATTGTGACTTTTATTTCCTAATTTGCTCTGAAAATGCTGGTTCTCAAATTCCTCTTAACGCTAACTTAATAGCATCTGTCATGAGAAATGCTTCCAATACAGCCACAGAACATGTTTGCCAGGCAAAGTAATGCTCTTTTTAGACAACTATATTTATTTAGGGTGTAAAACGTTGCTGTGCCTTTTTTAAAAGAGTTGTTTTGTAAAGCATCAGCATAACAAATATGATTAATAAGGTGTGCTCAGCTATGATTCTCTGCCGTGTTGACTGTAAAACATGCATCACTCTAAACGTAATGATTCTCTTGTGCCATTTTGCCTCATAAACATATGAATTACAATAAAAATATATTGTGTGTATGCATGAGAGAGAGAGAGAAACAGATGAACAAGCACAATATCCAGTCATCAGATTTGACACTGAGCAGATGGATTGTTTTTCTGCGTGTCACATCCCTATAAACCCAATACCAACTGGGCCTCTCTCATGCTGGTGGCCGGCCATGCCGTCATTAAAGGCTTTAACAGGACCCTGGCCAATGACTGGAGCACACTTGCTGAGTGGCAACATTTCATAATTACCATTCAGAGTTACTACCCATGTTGTTTTACATCCTGCCATAACTCAGCCATGTGCTGAGTGGGTTAAATCAGCTGGGTGTAAATAAGCAATACACTGTACTGTATGGTGATGTATAGGAGGTGTTGTGTTGGGTGATTTAGGCACATTAAGTAGTACGTCAAATGTGTATTAAACACTGCTGAGCTAATCCGCTAAAAGTAAAATTGGCTTGTAGAGGCCACACCAAAGATTTATCCATGCGTTGGTTTACAAGCATGGATATTATGTGCTAAAATAAGTGATTTGTAGTTACCTACAGCTACTGTATAACCTCTGCCTTTCAGAAATGTATTTTTCATAACTTGATTGGAAAAAATAAATATCCTGCTCTTCTGCAACCTAAACAAAACACACAGACGTTCTACCAACCATGGCATCAAAAGCCTTTTCAAGAACATGTCTTCCTTAAGAGCTTGTAAAGTAAAATGTCAGCCTGTCAGAGTTCAAATGTGTGAGTGTCTCATGGCGCATATTAACAGCTGAAAGGGTGAAATAACAAACATTTATATGTCATTACGCCGTGGCTATAGAGGCCTACTTTGGCTTAGCATTCCTTCCCTTTCAAGGAATATATTGGCAAACACCATGCTGTGATTAAACAAGTTTACACTGTAAAGGATGGATGCTGATCATTTGATGGTAACTTATAAATAGTGTTATACTGTAAGTGGAATTATTACAAAAGAGGCAACATTTTGCATTATTTTTGATGGTTTGCTTATGTCAAATCTTTTAGCTGAACACCTCACTGATATGCTTTGGTCTAGTACGGTCTCAAGACTGAGAAAAGCTTTGTTCAGTTCAATACGTTTCCCCAGAAGTGTCACAGCTCTGAGAACATTTTGTAACTGTAGAAGAATTACAAACAGTCCCAAAATAAACCAGAATAAAGGATATACACAGCATTTAAAAAGGTTTCTCCAGCACAATGACTTCACAGCTGCTAAAAGCATCATATACATACTCAACAAACCAATTTGCGGTTCCATTTGCACAGAAGAAAAAAAAGATCCATGCCCTGGTGTGCTACAGATATCCTGTGGAGTCAATAACTTGATTGTGCTGCATGGATTTTTCTCAGAAACCCTTCCTGTAGGAGTGGAAAAGCTTTCAAACATGATTTTAGACCGTGGGTGTCTCTGCTAGACACGATTACTCACTTCCACTCCGCAGTAAGGAAAACACTGAAACACTTGAATACAATGATAACATATACAATGTCACTCTTTGTTGCTGTCCCGTCAATTTCTACCCAACTCCCTGCTGAGTTCAAACTCATTGCTACAACTTCTGTAAAAAAAAAGAGAGAAGATTGGCAACAATCCCTTTTATCACATGGAATACATTAAACAATGCATTGGTTTTGCTCACGCTGTACTGGGACTGGAAAAAAATGACTTATCTTAGGATCAGGGTTCACCCGAGCACAGGGAACATCAGGGGGTTGTTTCGGCTCTGATACATTTAGTTGTTTTATTAATTGAGTTGATGAATATAAGCCATATATATTTACTGGAATAGTATCAACATAGTGTTACCTGGTGTAAACTGCACACTGGATTCCCCCGGTGTGTTAGGATTGCTAGAATCTTGTGAGCACATCAAATGGAAACACAGATCAAAGCTGCACAATGTCATTTTATGTAGCGAAGGTGTACATATTGAGATCACAAGTGAAGTGTTTTTATTTTACAAAATGGTGTGTGTGTGATATTATAGTTTACTATCTGCTATCATTTCATCTTCAGTTGTGCTTTATTACATTTCTGTGGAACAACAGTCATTTATAACTTTACCTTTCATAAGAATGGCAGCGAGAGCCATTTATATGAGTAATTATACACTCTTACAGGTTTACCTCACACTGATGAATGAGATGTAGCATTACTTCAGAAGTGTGGGTGCACTCTGTCTGAGGTCGTGTGCCAATGGTGTTTAAGTTAAAGAAGGGATGTGTGTACGTGTATCTGTGTGTGTATGCCAGACAGACATAAACTTACACACACACACACACACACACACACACACACACACACACACACACACACACACACACACACACACACACACACACACACACACACACACACACACACACACACACACACACACACACTGTCAAGCCATTTGCAACACCAGAACCCGAGTCTACTGGATTTATTGAAGAGCAAGGAGGGGGATATTGTACATTTTTAATTCGATTTTGCATTTTCATGAGCCTGTGTCTCATCCTCAAATCACGTTAAGATGTTTAGAGTCGCGGCGGCTCATCCACTGCTTACTGCTTACACTCAATCGTCCGGCCATTAATGAATGCGAGCGATTTCCATAAAATATTCTTAAAGAGGTCCGTTATTATTACCATAACGTTTCATCTCCCACCATAGCTAAACTTCAATCAGTTTTGCATTTGAAATGCATAAAATGTCTCCATAAACTCTTCTAATCTCTACCCGAGTCATTATTCTTCTTTAACTGGTATGTGTAGAAAGGGAAACTCATATTAAAGACATTAATTATTCTATTCTGGTATTTTTTTTTCCCCCTTACTGTTTTTGCCGCTTATTTCTGATTGGAATATTCCGTCTCATCCAGTGTTTCAAAACAAGTGTGTAATTATGTTGTTTATCAGAGCGTATAGTTGTATTCCTCTTATGATGTTTAGGGTTAATTACTCCTAGGCCTTTGATGCACATGCTCACATGAAAACGGAAAAAAAGAAAAAAAGGTATTAATTTTGCACTCCAACAAACCTGCCTTGCTGAGCTGATTGCTTCAATAAAAGCGAGTGTGCAGCTGGTGTGGAGTTGTGGTTGTGATGTTCTCATTGAAACATCACATTCCACAGTATCACTATGCCGTTGCTTAGACTGTAAATGATGACAGGTGCTTCCTCTGGGGACAGGGCAGGATACAGTATGTTGTGACAGGCTGTTACTGTGGCAGATTGATTGATTTTCTTGTGTCCAATCTACCAACCTTAGGTACATTATTCAGTCTGTACATATTGTGTCTTCCGCGAAAGTATTAAAGGACTGCAGCAACAACAACGTTGATAACACAATTGTGTTCCGATTGAATCTGTGACCAAAAATGAATTTTGAGTTGACATTCTAACAGTAAAAGCCAGTGTAAAGAAAAACCTGAAGGAATGTCTTTGTTTGGTTACAATACAAAAACATCTACCTTAATATACGTATATGTAGGTGGGGGTTCATGGTGATTAAAATGCTTAAAAATGTAATTTCTATTGTACATTAACTCACCGTCTCTTCCTGTCCTGATCTTGCGTTCATGTTTTCTATCTCTCTCCTCCACACTTCCATTGTCTCTGGAAGTTGTTTACTTGCCTGAAATACTCTTGGGTGTTTTCCTCCTCACCACCAGGTGTCACTCTTGTGCTATGTTTTGTTTCGAGAAAGGCTGAAAAACATAGCTGTGGTATAAAAGATTGATCATTTCAACAAGTCACTCACTGAATGATGGATAAAAGCTCCCTTATTTGTAAGAGACGTGTTATGGATTTGTGAATTGATTTAATGGACTCTGACTGGGTTTAGGGCCTGAAGAATAGTCAGCAATATTCCTCATAATAAACCTGTAAAATGACATTAGAGAATAAAAAGCAAAGTGATTGTATGAGGATTTTAGATAACAAAAGTGGCATTGAATACATCTGAATACATGTTTTGCTTTGTGCTCTGCTTCATTTGGTGTTGTTGAGCTTCTACAAACCAGAATGTCAGTCAAATTGTTATCAAATTACGATGAAATGCATATTATTTTAATTCCCTTCTGTCTCTGTTTTGTCTGATTTGCCCTGAAGAAGTCTATTGAAGTCGGTATAAGATGGAACACATGTTGACGTATTTACACCATGATGAACACCATGACTCACCCACATCTTATATTGCCCCAACAAACCCATTCAAAACCCGATGACACACTCCGGGAGCACGTTGATTTCTACAGTATATGCCCTGATTCACTTTCTTAAAGAAACAGACGTCATTTCTGTGTAATCAGCCCATTTTCCATGAGTGTCCTGAGTTTATATAACTGTGTTATCTATCTTTTTCCAGATGACCCTGAATCAAAGGATGATGATGTAAACGCTGAGGACAAGACCTCCCAAGACCAGCCAGCTGATGAGGTAAACTATCGATGATGCACTAGTTCCGAAGCAATACATGGTGTCTTTCTAAAAAGTAGTACATTAAAACGTTATTTAAACATGCAGAATTGTTAATATTTGTACATTTTGTTACATTACCACCGGTTTGACCCATATTTTTCAACGTCTGTGTAACTCAGTTAACTGTTGCATATTGATTGGCGTGCCATAAAAAGCATTCTTAAAAAAAAACGTAAGGCTTTGGCTCCACTTGATTTGTAAGTGCTCATGATTCAATAGCGCTATCACTCTCTTTCAGGAAAGTGTAGGTCACGGGGAGAATTATTGTAAACAATCCAATTACATTACATAAAATATTTAGAGCTATAAATTCTTTCTGTGGTGTTATTGCATTACAGAAACCTGCAGACGATGATGGTGATGCAAAGGCCGCAGAGCAGAATGGTGAAAAGGAAGAACAGAGAGAGAAGGAGGTTGAAAACACCACCAAAGAAGACACTTCTGCTATCAAAGAAGAAAGGAAGGAAAACCAGAAGACGAGTGGACAAAAAGATTTAGGGGAAGAGGATGAGAAAAATGATAAAAAAGAGGGAGAGGCAACAGCGGGATCTGAGGAGAAGGAGGTTACAGAAGAAGTGAAGGAGGAGAGTAAGGAGGAGGTGAAGGAAGAAGTGAAGGAAGAGGTCACGGAGGAGAGTAAGGAGGAGGTGAAGGAAGAAGTGAAGGAAGAGGTCACGGAGGAGAGTAAGGAGGAGGTGAAGGAAGAAGTGAAGGAAGAGGTCACGGAGGAGAGTAAGGAGGAGGTGAAGGAAGAGGTCACGGAGGATAGTAAGGAGGAGGTGAAGGAGGAGGTGAAGGAAGAAGTGAAGGAAGAGGTCACGGAGGAGAGTAAGGAGGAGGTGAAGGAAGAGGTCACGGAGGATAGTAAGGAGGAGGTGAAGGAGGAGGGTGAAGGAAGAAGTGAAGGAAGAGGTCACGGAGGAGAGTAAGGAGGAGGTGAATGAAGAGGTCACGGAGGAGAGTAAGGAGGAGGTGAAGGAAGAGGTCACGGAGGAGAGTAAGGAGGAGGTGAAGGAAGAGGTCACGGAGGAGAGTAAGGAGGAGATTAGCGGTGAGAAGCAGGGGTCCAGCGTGAGCAGCAGTGAGAAGACCTCAGACAGCAAAGAGAAAGAGGATGGAAACCATACTTCTTCTGAGGGTAGAAGGGAAGACAAACATATAGAAGAAGAGAAGAGAGATACAGACAGTGGGAAGGGTAAACAAAGCAGAGAGGAGCGAGTTAATGGTGTAGACACGGGGGAGGAACAGACAGAGACAGAAAACAGCCGTGACCCGGGGAAGACTCGGTCAGATAACGAGACAAAAGAGAGCGATAACGGGAGAAGTAGCAGAAGCAGCGGGAACCAGGGAGAGGAAGAGAGCGAAACAACACAGGGAGCTACCAAAGAGTCAGGGGAAGAGGAGAGACAGGTGAATGGAGAGGTCAGCGGAGAGGAAGAGGAGGAGGAGGAGGAGGAGAGCGGAGCAGAACTGGACATGGAGGAGGATTCAGCCAAAGGTGATGCAGAAAATGGAGAGAAAGAGGCGGCGGGTGATGAGCAAGGCAAGCAAGATCAAAGCAGGAAAGATTAGTAAAGAAAAGGAATGCTCATAATAGTAAGCAATAGAATACAATTTATTAATAATAAAGGTGGCAGAGCAAAAAAAAAGTCAACGTAGAATCTGCATTTAAATAAAAACAATGTCCCAAATGTCAAGAAAAACAAGTTTGAATGGATGGATCTAAATTGCAGGTATGTATTTCACAACTATTTTGAAACACATTATAAAAGAGCTTTAGTTATATATTCCTATGTGTAATTAAGACATACTGTTAATTATTGGGCTGCTTGTTTCAGTGTGATGCTGGGGAACTTAAATATATATTTATACAGTTATTATATGTTTTTCTTTTTAAAGACATATTTTGATCAGGTATGATTTTACTTTCTTGTTTTAAACATGATTGTATGGTTTGCAAGTGATCAAAGTGAGCTTTCTTTTGTAAGTACGTTGGGTAATGTTGTATGCATACTGTAAATTTCCAATATGAATTCCTCATTATTTAGTCATTATGCATATTTGTTTATTTACATATATCTTTTACCATAAATATAATTAAGTGAAAATTACAGGGAGGGATTCAACCAAACAGAATTTAACGTCTGTCACTTCATTATAACATCACTTCAAATGTGTCAACACAAATAAAAAAATACTTAAAGTGTGATTATGATAACTGTGTTGTTTTTCGACTTTACTGTAAACAGTGTTTGTGAAATTGTAAAATGGATTTATGTGAAGTAGATGAAAGGTCAACACTTTAATATTTACAAATGTGTTTTTTAGTATGTTTTAAATTAAAATGATTTTGCATTAGCTCATTAAAGTGTAGCTACTTGAATGGAATCATTTTTGCTTTCACCCTAGATAGATGGATCCATCAGCAACATTGATGGTTTCCATGTTGCTAGGACAACTGATCTGTTAGATGATGTCAGAGTTAGCATGACAACCATGTTCTAACCATGACAACATGGTGAGCAACAGCATTTTTGTCATTATATTGACAGTCAGACCAACACATTGTTCGGCAGCATGCTTTTCATTAAAATCACTCATTTTTTTAATTGTGTGCATGATAATAACGTATGTACAATAACATGAGGGCTTACAGTGATACAGTTAAATGTTGCATTACTTGTATCAAATAAAATAATATATTTTTATGTATACAATATCTTAAGGCAAGAAGATTCTAAGCGACACCGGTAACATAACTACAGTAGGTCTCGGACATTTGTAATCAGCAACACAGGCGAGACGAGATTTGTAATGCAATGTAGACTTACAATAAAAACATCTCGTTATTTTGTTCAGCTATTTTGCATCTCTGTTTTACCATGAAACAAGGTTGCATCAATCCACTGTAAACTCCTGCCAAAAAGTGTGAACTGTGATCTAATTCTGCCCTCGCTGCCCTCTCATCCCTGCAGCTGTTCACATTGGGATTCATGCAGTCAATGTGTTTGTGAGTCACCATCCCACGAGAACATGGGTGAGAGAGGAGGTAAAGGGAGAGAGTAAGGGAGAGAAGGGGGGTGGCAGAGGAGGCGGGGTGGATGAGTCATACGGCCTGACCAACCCAGTCTCATACAAAAACGTGTAATAACTACGTTGGTCCACAACGTAGGACGTAGTATTTCTACAAAAACGCCTCTGAAATTGTAAGATCCCTACGTTTTTTTTCACCATTCATTCCAATGGCTGGCGTCAATGTCACGTGATCTTCAAATTTCTCCCTGCAGAAAAAAAAAACATGGCCGAACTTCGTTTTATTCTCGGTGTAAAATGCCTATTTTAAAGTTAGTTTGGCCATTAAAATGCGTTTTGATGTCATTTCATGCGAGAAATATGAGTTGTTATTTCAGATTATGTGTGCAGTGGATGTACATGATCTTTAGTTTGCTAGTTATTACGAAGATTATTCAGGGAATTGTGTCTATACAACGTTTTCATTGTCACCAAGGTGGTTGCTAGGGATGCTGCTATCGCTATTATTTCTGTTATGTTGTGTAACTGTTTAATGGTGTTATCTTTATTGCTACCCCCTTCCCCGTCAATGTATAGTGTTGGTCCACAGCGCAAACGTATTAGTTTAACAAAATCCGCAACACAAGTTGGAGTCCGTCAGGACCGAGGGTCGGAGCAGCTCATTTGCTTTACAGAATATTACACCCGGAAGTAAGTATTCTCTCCGCTTCGCTTGACAAACCCCGTGATAGTCCTCAAGCTCTGTGATTGGAGAGTGTGCCAAGCGTCGAACAGCACGTGAAATGGGATGGAACCACGGCAGACTGTCCAAAACTTGAAAATTGAAAATTTGAACGGGTCCACCCCGTCCCCCCCTCCCCCACCCCGTCCCCAGAACTACACATGCTGGCTATTGTGTTTCGCAACATGTTCTATGGCACGTCTCTACTGGGAGTTGTAGTTTTAAAAGACGTTTTCGTATTTCCCATAATAAGAAGTTGCCAGTATTAAACTGTGTACATCCCTGGAGGTTTAGGGGATAGGAGGACACACTCAAATGTAAAACATATAATTAATAAATGGGTGAAAATGGCTTGTGCCCATAATGGGCAGCATTACTATATACCCACATGCCAGCTAAGGTCAGAAGAGCTGTATTTAACAGCGCCAGATCTGGAGGGGCGCTGCGCTGGGAGAAAAACAAAATTAATAAAAAACTTTTTTAATTTTGTTTTTTATTCTGCCTAATTTTATGCCCTTGATGTAATACGTTTACATTAATAATTGAATAAAGTAAACACCCTTTGCACCCCGGGCCGGCGGCAACATTTTGCATTTGCCCTGTACGATGGGCGCTGTAACTGTAAGTGATGAAAGGGGGGGATGGTCGCTTATCTGGCACCCACGGGCCGCGGCTCACAGCCAAAGTGACGCGGCAGCTCCAGCAACGATGCAACAGCAAGAGGCAAACAATTAGCATAATGAAAAGGTCCAAGCCTTCAGGGGCAACGGGAAGGAAACGGAAAAAAGAACAGGAGGAATCGAAAATCAAAGACAGAGGTACGTCGGCTTGTGTAAAAAAGAAAAAAGTCAGTATCTACTGTACCGTTAGACATTTGATTTTAAGCTAGCTAGCTAGCTAAGGAGGTAGCCTGCCCATGATACAGCTTTGATGCCATGCTAGCCGTGAGCCTCTGATACAGAATGATAAATACAAATTATTTAAAGTTTTTATTTATGTTATTATTCTTATATAATATTTTTGTAAATAATATACTACTTTTCTATTGTGATAGCTGTAAATTGATCCTCCAATAGTGTTTAATTTGTCAGATAGTTTATTTTCACGGTCAACTTGTGTGTAGGCCTATATATATATATATATATATATATATATATATATATATATATATATATATATTTATTTTTCTGTTTATTTTCTATTATATTTTAGAATTTGTTTATATTCTGCTCTTTTTAATGTCTAATTATTGTGCAATGCTTTGTTTTATATGCTTCTGTAACGAAATAATGTGAATGTTAGCCAGAAGAAAGCTATCTGGATAACTGCTCCTTTGTATAAAGTGAGGCTGAACAACCAATGTGTTATTATTTACATTACATGTCATTTGTTAGACGCTTTTATCCAAAGCGACTTACATACCTGTACATTCAGTACTGTGGACAATCCCCACAGGAGCAATTTAGGGTGAAGTGTCTTGCCCAGGGACACAACGACATGCTGACTGCAGTGGGACTCGAACTTGCTACCCGCTGATTCAAAGTCCAGACCTAACTTTTATATAGGCCAGTTGTGAACTTGCATACAGCTGAGGCAGATTGCAGCAGTTATTTTTGCCTGACTGTATATACATGTTTTTGCTTGTAATGTGCTAATATCTACCCTATCATTTTCCAGCTGCACTTGAGAAATACCTCAAAAAGCCCCCAGTTGCTGGAGAAGGAACATCTGATCTCCCATGTCCATCACACTCTGAAGAATGTAAGTTTTGCCAAACATTTATGGTATCTGTGTAATCGTTAATACATTACTTTTTGTCATTATTATTATTGTTATTATTATGATAAATAATGAAAACTGAAGCATGTTTGGATTGCCTGCTTGCAGGTGAAGGAATAACGAGCACAGTATGTGAGTCCACCATTGCAGCCCCCTCAGATCCTGCTGACTGCCCAAGCCCATCTGAGTCCACCATTGCAGTCCCCTCAGATCCTGCTGACTGGCCAGCACTGAGTGATCCAGTGAGAAAAGCCATGTGAACATCACATTGAAATCATGGTCTGATACCAGATGGGAGAGTCGGATCAACAGCATAGAGGCTGTAAGGTATCAGGCTGCAGAAGTCAGAGATGCACTTCTAGAGGTGAGGGATAAAGCCACAGATGGAGTTGTAAAAATTGAGGCACAATCTTTGGCTGAAGAGGTTGGATCATACCGCTTTGCAATATGCACTGTGGTATGGTATGACATCCTGACCAACATCAAACATGTCAGCAACATTTTGCAATCAGTGTCAATGCAGCTGGATATTGCAGTTGACCTCCTGAGAAAAACGGATGGATTTGCTTCTGCCCAAGCATCTGCCAAAAGACATCTGTGGCCAAATAAATGTGGAAGCTGTTCTCAAGCAGAAGAGGCTGAGAACAACCAAGAGACAGTTCTCCTATGAGTCCCCGGAAGAGCAAGTGAGTGATGCACTAAAGAAACTCGAAGTTTCTTTATTCAATATGGTGGTGGATGTTTCCATTGCATCACTGCAGGAGAGATTCAAGGCCTTAGGTGAAGTAGAGGAAAAGTTTGGGGTGCTACTCAACTTCCCTGACCTGCCAAAGGAAGATCTGACAAAGCAGTGTGAAACACTCAGCAACACCCTGAGCTGGGGTGGACAGTCAGACCTGGATAAGAGGGAACTTGCACTGGAGATGCAGAATTTCCCAGCTTTGCCAAAAGCCAACATGACCACCCTGGAACTTCTGACTTTCCTACAGGAGAAGAAAATGAACAAAGTGTATCCAAATATGTGGGTGGCCCTCAGGATCGCGGTCACTATTCCAGTAACAGTTGCTGCTGGGGAGAGGAGCTTCTCCAAATTGAAGCTCATTAAAACATACAGTACCTGAGGTCGTCAATGGCTCAAGAACGCCTCAATGGATTAGCTTTAATAAGCATCAATCGCGAGGTTTCGGGGCAAATATCATTTGACGATACAATAAATGAATTTGCAGCAAGGAAGTCCAGACGTGTCCGACTTTAAGGATGTGGACTAATTAAAGGACACAATAACATAGCAGAGACTTGTTGTTCTGATTGCCTGTTTCATTTGATTTATAGTGTGTGTAATGTTGTTCATTATCTTAATTTATTTGCAATAATCTCAGTTGTAAGAGCTCCGTTGGCTATATTTGTGTCCACGTTTGCACTTTATTTTCTTAAAGTATTAAGAGAAGCTACTTTTGTTTGATGAGTGATTTTCATTTAATAACTACAATATTAATAATAAGGATAAAATAAATAAATATGTTACATTTATTTGTTATTGGCTGTGGGTTATTGGTTATGTTCACATACTTATTTGGTTATTAAAATGTAAACCGATCTTTTTCATATGGGTGTTTTAGAGTTGTACCTCCGTTCAGGTCTCTAGTAATTGTGTGCTCAAAGTGCACCAGATTGAAGCATTTTACTATAAAATGTTAAAAAAAATCTTTCCGGGGGGACATACCCCCGGACCCCCCTAGATGTGACATCCACCCCCCAATTAAAACATGTTCATACAATAATGAATACATTTGAAACCTTTATGTATATTACCTATGTCAATAAGTTTCTGTTTTTGTAGTGTATTGGTCTTTTGTAGAGATGTTTCATTTATTCTTTATATATTCTATTGTGTATTGCTTGGAGGGGGGGGTACCAAATCATAATCTCGCCTAGGGCACCAAAATGTCTAGGGCCGGCCCTGGGTCGACCCCTAGTAAGTACAGCATATCTACCAATTGGATCAAATATAAAAGTCAGCCGAATTAGTGTTGATACTGCAAGGAGACGTATTGTGTGAAAAGAAATGTAAGATGTTGTTTAATGGCTGATATATTTATGATCCATGTCACGTTTTCAGTGTTGGCGGCAGTTCCTCATGTTTGTCTAGAAGTCTTCTCATCAGGGCTCTATAAATAGAGAACTACGGCATATATGTAATATTTAATGCAGCCGAACCGTGTATTACAATGCCGTTATGGGATGACTTTCAAAGAGAAAAGCAAGCACACCCGGAATAAAGTATTTTCGGTCTGTTTCGGGTATTTGTTTTTAACGATGAGATGTGAGACTGGAATTGCACAGGGGAAAATAACATATCTATGCCACAATTTTAGATGCAGATTTTGTTAAACTAATACGTTTACACTATACATTGACGGGGAAGGGGGTAGCAATAAAGATTACACCATTAAACTGTTACACAACATAACAGAAATAATATCGATAGCAGCGTCACTAGCAACCACCTTGGTAGGCTAACAATGAAAACGTTCTATGGACACAATTTCCTGAAGTAATCTTCGTGATAACTAGCAAACTAAAGATCATGTACATCCACTGCACACATAATCTGAAATAACAACTCATATTTCTCGCATCAAATAACATCAAAACGCATTTTAATGGCCAAACTAACTTTAAAATAGGCACTTTACACCGAGAATAAAACGAAGTTCGGCCATTTTGTTTTTTCTGCAGGGAGAAATTTGAAGATCACGTGACATAGACGCCAGCCATTGGAATGAATGTTGAAAAAAAACGTAGGGATCTTACAATTTCAGGGGCGTTTTTGTAGAAATACTACGTCCTACGTTGTGGACCAACGTAGTTATTACACGTTTTTTTATGAGACTGGGTTGGCCTGACTGGTCGGGGTGATGATCCTTAAGGTGCTATTTCTGGAATTACCATCAATTCTATCTCCTCCACTGGCTCCTTTCGGTGTGTGTGTGTGTGTGTGTGTGTGTGTTAATAAGCCCCTGAACAGCACAGACTTCAGACACTTCTTCTGAATGACTTACCTGATTGATTACAGTAAGAGCTTCTACTCGCTGTACTGAAGGCTTAGTGTGTCGGAACCCCATTGACGGTTTGAAGTTTTTTATTAATGAAAACCAGATATTATAATTACTCATCCTTCCTTTGTTTTCCATCTCGATGTGACACAGTAAGCCCTGAGAGACAAGAAAGTTATGTTTTGTTTGGTGTTCAATGTTAAGTAAAACCTCTTATGCGGAATAGATTGTCTTGTATGTTCATACTTTTTTAAATCTAAATTAAATAAGGAAAATTATTAATCTGCTTACTGGTCAGACTCAAGATTCTTAGAAAAATGGTGTCAAGTAATTAATAGGTTCTGATAATTGTATATATAAAGATCGCAACAGCCTTTACACTTCTATGTGTTTCAACAAAAAATGATGTCCTAAATGTAGGAGATCTAATTGTTTACCTTGACTCTCAGGTCTTCCGTAGGCCACACTATTTTGAAGTACAAAAATACATTAATGAACGTGTAGAGTGTATTGAAGTTACCCTGTACTCCATGTATGTAAAGATGATATTAACAGCAAAACAAGACTACATAAACCAGAGACACATTCACAATAAGAACACATAAGCTGTACAGTACAACTATAGCGGTGATACAATTATATTTTATATTTTCATTTGCTATAAGTAGCTAAGTGAGGATGTGTCTCTTGAAAAGGATGCACACAGTCTTCAAACATTATGAGCAGTGGATATTTCAACTTTATTATGTTCTTTGAAAAATAGACATACGGTATATAGACATCGATATCTTTATATATTTGTTCTTTTCCAATCCAACCTCCGATAGGTACAGTAGCCTATACTCTTTTATTTGTATTATTTACTGGGAGAATCCACGGTACATCAGGAGACACTATAACTGGGAAATCAGAGCAGAAAAATATCCATTGCAGATGTTGGGATTGTAATGCAGAACTCAACGTTGGTCCAGATAAGAATACAAAATAAACTCACAATTGACAGCATGGAACTACAAGTCAGAACATTAATTGACCACTTCATAACGCTCTGACCACACTGAACGTTTGTTTTTAAGAGATTGTTTTTTCTTCTTGTACTGTATTTGCAGATTAACAGTGGTTGCGTAATATTCCTTCCACATGTCTAACTTATAAGTATATCTGTATTCATAGTTATAGCTACACGTCTGTAGTTTCTGAGACCAAAATATTTTAAAATGTCATCAAATAATGGAATGAAGGTTGTGGGATATTAAAAGGTCAATTTACATGAACATAGGTAGCCAGCAGAGCAATGGCTGCTAAAGCTTCTATTATATATGTCTATGAATAAACATATATTACTTTATACAGGGTGGTTCTGGCATTGTTGCTGCATCATTCTGAAGAGTTTGGAAAGCCCTGCAGCGTTGAAGCACAGAATGAGGCGTGTAGCGTGATGGCACTTGGACTGTCTCTACCACAAAACATGTTTTCTAACAGTACAAAATAAATGCTGCATTTTGACCGCACAACTTGTATCTGTGCATTGGATGCACAACCAACAAACAAGGAGCAACCACAAATTGAACAATTTAAAATGGCATGGTCACAATATTTAAAAATATATTTAAAATACACAAAGTTCAAAAAAGCATGAACATCAGCAGGTTATTGTGCTTGTTAGTTAAAGTCACAGCGTGTGTGAGAGCAGAGTTTTTATAGAATTCAAAAATAAAATATATAAACCTTTTTAATTTAACTTCTGTTTCTAAGATAGTACCCAACTGAATATGCAACCATGAGACACATGTAGTGGGTGCTGTTCAGCATACTTCATGATGTAGCTTCAAGTTTTGTGTGTGAGAGCAGGAAGGCAGTTATTGTGTGGAGAGCATCTGTGAATCTAGACAGGCTGTAATACAAAGTAGCTGATGTGACTCACTGGAGAGCTGCGTGCTCTCTCTCTCTCTCTCTCTCTCTCGCTCTCTTCGTTATCTTACATAATCTGTCACGTTGTTTGTCTCGCTTGGTGCGCCCTTGCTTTGTCTTCATTTTTAGACCCACCACCTGCGTCTTCTTTTTTTATTTGCCAAATTGACCTCTCCCTGCACGTTTGTGCACGCTTGGATGGATAGGCATGTGTCTATGCTTGTGTTTGTTACAGTGAGGGAAGGAAACAAGGAGGAGCATGGGTAATGAAGTGTTTAGGAACAAATCAAAGATAGAAGGTATATTATTATTTGAAAAACCAAGTTTAAAGAATATTAGGTACTTCTCATTTAAAAATACTTAGTCTCCGTCAATATACACAAGAACAATGTGCTGTTTGATGTACTTACAATGTGCTTAGTATACTTATTGTTTTACCTCTAGAACTTATAAATATATACTTGAAAGTACTTGACTGTTCTATAATCAAACAGCATTTGGATAAATATATACATAATTGCAAACATTTTAATAATTCTGTAAAGTAATTTCATAGATACAACACTTGATTGTGTTTAAGTTTATATTTGCTAACAATAATTATATACAATTAGCATAGTAAGAACATTGTTAGTATTGAAAATAGCACACTTTTAGTACATTAATAAGGAAGTATACTTCAAATTGGTCAGTATACCTTTAATCTTGGTTATCTGGAAAGACATATTCAATCTGATATAGTATTTTTAAGTGACAGACTATGTAGTTCTGCATCTTCCGTCTGGTTCACCTTTCATCAGTCTTTCTTGTCTCGCCTATCGATCCTCTCTGAAGATCCACTGAAGGAGACAAGGTCAGAGGCCTAATAAGACAGAAAAAGGCGGCTTGAAATCTGCCTTGGAGGTCTGTTCCAATCTGTGTTGATCTCTTGTCTGCTCTGCTGATGTGTGAACTTCTGTCAAATTATCTCTTAAGACTTGGCTCGATTTGCACACAAACATAACTTTAAATAAGTATTCAGCTGAAGCACATATCCTCATATTGTGTGTTTGTGATTGACAGCTCTTACTAACTGTGGTAATGAAGTTATGCTGCATAAACAGCATGTGTACATGTACACACAAAGCATGTTAACTCAGAAAAGCTCCCTCATGTCCTTTTAGACACTGGCAGAGATAATGGTTGTTGTGTTGAGGGCTTCTTTTGATCATTTTCTTGTAATGGGGGTCCGATCACAAAATACTTCAAACAACGCAGCAGCTGCTGCTCGATACCCTCCAGCAGTAACACCATTCTCTTTCACAAAAATGTGAATCCTCTCCACAGAAACATGCTTGGTGGAAGAAATGATGTTGTTGTTGTTCAGTGGCTGTGTTCTATTGATTTCTTTCTGTGGTTTATTTTCTGGGTAGGGCCCGAGACCTGCATGTGCTTTGTCAGATCACTGTGAATTTTATATAACTGCTGTCGAAAAAACAAAAGGCTTAAACTTTGCTCAGCTACACTAAACTCTGCTCCTATATAACCTTCAATCAAGCTCTAATGTCAAACATAGCAAATACAGATGAAGAGCAAATACTATCAGTCATGTAAGCTGACCTTTGAAAAGAGAAAATGCACGCATAGTTCTACTCACACACACACACACACACACACACACACACACACACAGTCATCACACGCACTTCTTCACTTTATGCCTTCATGTGGTCTTCTGTCAGGTCTCCGACTTTGTTTTCGCTGGCTGGATGTTCTGGACTTTGGAAAGCGTGACTGGCACCCTTCCCTCTCCAGGGGTCTGTGGTTTCATGATGGGGGTACCTGTGAGAACAGCAGTTCTGCTAGGAGTGATATCTATACAAAGCAGTTTGAGTTCAGCCTAACAGTAAAAAGAAAAGCGTTTGCTGCATCAACATCTCATACCTACTCTTGATGTGTTGCTGAAGTTGGCTGCCTTTTTGCGTATTAATCATGGATGTTAAAGGTGTGTGTTTGGTAAATGATGTGAAGCGGTCGCATGGTTAGAATTGAGAAATTGTTGTGGTTAGGTCTGGGTAAGAAAACTACTCAGTTAAATGTGAAAACAAATGTTTGTTTGGATTGAAATGACTAATGTTGTTGATCTGAAGACATCTGTTAAAATACCTCAAACATTTGGTTTCACAGGGGACATGGATGCAGGTTCTCTAGGTGAAATGTGTTTTACTCACCCTGTACTCCTCCATTCTTCCCAACATTAGTGTACTTTGTCTATCTTTATAAGCATCCTTCACTCTGAGTGTCTTGTAACAGCATTAATGAGTTTACTACCTGGTGCGTCTTACACTAACGCTAAAAGGTGCCTTGTGCATCACTATCAAGACGTCTAATCAGTTTTAATTGCTCCGCTAACGAGACCTAGTTGATCATTTACTTTATTGCATTTGCTTTTAAACCATTCACAAATGTCTATAAACGAGGTACAGACTGAAGGCTTACCAACTGTCGCGTGCAGATCTGCCAACCTCTCTTTGAACTTCTGCTGCAGGTACAGTTCTTCTTTGGAGTAGCTTTTGGCAAAGGCAGATAGCAGGAGACCCACAGCCATGGAGGTTCCTCCAACGCAGAACAACACGGCACCGGTCAGCTTACAAACATCCAGAGCGTGGTTAAAACTGACGGCGTGGCTGTTGAAGTGAAAGACACATGGCGAGAAATTAGAAATCAACCTCGGTAAGCAATACCTGTCAACCTAAAAAAGTGAAAAATATGCATCCAAAAAGTCACTGGGAAGCCATTTTTAAAAAGGCTATTCTCCATTTTGAAATGTCTTTGTTGACTTGTTTTAATTGTTTTGACCTTTATATAATTAACTGCATGTCCTTCCACTAAAACAATGAGCTATCCATTACAATGATGTAATAGAAAAAAGGATTCCAACTGTAAGTGTTAAATACACAGAATTGCTGTGTAGGGATAGGAACGATTTCATTAACCCCCTTCCATTAATACACTGTATTTTTCTTTTACCTGTCAACAAAAGGAGGTCATCCTCTCCAAATGCCTCGGTCCTAGTTGGAGTGGCATATCCGACCAAAACAACAATAAGGCCCGCAAACAAGATCAGGGAGCCGAACGCGAGACAGACCTGGCCGAGAACACAATGACATGTTATACGACTACACGACCAAAGAAACCAGCAGGGTAGTGGCTGCTTAAACTCACCTTCCAGAGTAAAGAGCTCCACCTGCTAGGCGATCTCTGAATCTGAAAATCTTCATCACGTTCCCAGATAGAAGCTGTGCACTCCTCGTAAAACTGGAGAAGAGATCAAAAACAGACAGATGTTTTCACTTTCCAAACATGGACCCTGAAAACCCACCAGAGATCAAGATCTAAAAGCCTCTAATCTAAGAAAAGAAAACAGTTAATAATTGTTGAATAAATTGCCCTGTGTGTGTGTGTTGTGTACCTGGTGTAGGTAAGACCGGACTCCATACTGTTGGCAGTTTCCGCTGGCTTGGGCTTGCTCACCATACTCCGACCCACAGATCTCTGAGCAAGAAGTCATCCTTCACACCTGTCTACCTGCTTGAGGAAACACACACACACACGGATGAATGCCGGGTGTGCAGCCACCCACACATTTGTGGACAAAACCTCCATAGCGTTTACCCGTGCATAAACATGCACACATACATAAACAGTGTAGAACATATATGTATCACACAAGCATGTACCGTCTCACACGCACACTGCCAGAAAGTTACATGTATGTAACATTGTACTGAAGTGCCTCAGAACATTGAGATGAATGATGCGTTCTCAATGTCTGCCGTTATGAAATAAGCCATGAGATGTTGAATCGGTCCTCCTTTTTAGATTCAATACAGTGCCGGCTGAACCCAGAGGGTGCTGACATGCAGAGAAATAACCTTTTCCTCTTTCGATAATTCATTTCATGCAACAATAATAACATCAACATCCATTTGTTTAGCTGTGCATCAAAAATTAAGCTATTTATTTAGTACTGTATGTTGCATTTTATATTGTTATACAAAATATATACAGTATAAAGGACATGCTGTGTAAAGATGACCTTGCTTGTTGACATATAGGAGGAGTTTCATTCACATAACAAATCCAACAATAACAACAATTGAATCCATGTGATATTTTTTTAATAGATCAGTGATGTGTGGAAAAAAGTAATGTGCCTAAACTAATGTGCTGTTAGAGGATTCAAATGTTTATACATAAAGATCATTCAGGTAAAGTGAGTAGCTATTTTGGCAGCATCAAATAAAATCATACAATATGTTGTTACCCTGTTCTCTGTATTCTGAGGCTATAAAAACAAATTCAATTAAAAGACAGCAGAAGAGATGCTCTAGGACCTTTTTACTAGGAGCATTTACAAGTCCCTCAGCATCCATTTGAGATCCAGAGGCATTTCCCAGCTCAGGGCCTTGGTACAAACACAACTCTGTTTCAATTTTCCGTCAGCTATAGCTCTAAATCCTAATTTTCTGCACCACAGCAGAACAGCACTGGGACCAACATATTGCTCCCAGTGTTGTCATATTCTTCAACATGCCCAATGTGTACAGACATTGCAGACACACATTTGTTTATAATATAGTTTGATCCAAAAGCAGCAAGCCCCTATGATACATGTGACACTTGGACAAAGAAACAGACCTACACAAAGAAGCAGTATGTGTTACTGATGGGGCTTAATGGGTTTATGGTTCACCAGGATAGGAATGTACATTGACTTGTGGGTGAAATAAGTAGCAGTGATTGCACAAAAAGCATGTTGTTGGCTTGAATACTGAAGGGAATACATGTTGGGCCTCTATCTGGAGGCACTTTATGGTAAACTTATCAAGGAACTATTACCCAAATTGTATGCAGGTGGAAATAGTCAGTATGCAGTAATGATAAGGACATTTTAGGAAGGTACGCACAACAGAGCACCTTTGACCTTCAGTCTGCATGACACAACGTGTGTGCTTAAAACTGTGAGAGGCATTCATATTAATGAATCAATTACATACCTCACTATTATCTTGCCTATTTGTCATTGAAAACTGACATTACTCATTTAAATGTCACTTGTGGTGCTAGAGACAAGTCACTTTTTGATATAACCCAGTCACGATTTGCCTTCTAAGGGTCTCGGACAATCAGTATATAAAACCTTTTGATTTATGATTTACTTTCATTAGATTGATCGCTTAACGTTAAAGAATTTGGCGTATAATCTTAACATTGGAGAGTCACAGCTAATATGTTGCAACTCTATTCTATACACTGCTTTTCTTGTCTGAATCTCCTTGTAGATAATAATAATAAACGTGTGGAAATGCGAAGAGGAGATGGAGAGTGTCTTATTTAATAAAATGGCCAAACATTAGTTTCCACATTGTATGAGATTCAGTCAGAACATCACCTCAGTGTGATGAGTAAGATGCTGCATCAAGACGAGACACACTGTTCCCTGCTGCATTGTGATAATCATATTACTGCTTCATTTGTACCTGCTGAGGTCTGTCATGCAATCTAAATCCGCCCAGATGCTGCTCATCCTCACTGCATATATGCAAGACATTTTAAATATTCATCCAGCTATAATGATAATGTGTAATATGGAAATATGACAGATTTTTAATTATGAACTACAAGGTGTAGAGACTACATTGAGGCTTAATCTATTTAAAGTCAAACACTTGGGAATGAGTGGGAATTTAAAATGTCATGTTGTCTTTTCTTCATGTATATATCGACATGTTTGTGAAAAAAATAAAACTTAGCTTCAGTGCCCTTGACCTTGTGGTCTATGGCAACAGTCAAGCACACAGAAACACAGCCAACACATGACATAAGGCCATTTACAGAGGGGAATATTTGATCTACTGAATGAGACAACAGTATGCATGCACTCAATGGATGGAGACATACAAAACGAAAACAAAATGGCCAAATATTCAATTGAAATGGGCTCGCATGTAGAAAGTGTGTCTCTTTCTGGGTCATTTCCAGTCTTCCCAAGCATTCTCTCATATTTTAAAATGTTTCCTTATCCACAAAAGACAGACCAAATACATCTCGACCTATCTTAACCTCAATCCAAATGTGATCTGAAAAATAAAAACCAGAGTAGAGAAATACAAACACCAAAGTGTAGATGCAAAAGCCAAAAGTCTGAAGTAAGCTACAAGATGTCCTGTCCACCGTTAAACCGGGAGCTGGCCGTGGTGCTCATCGCCATTATTATCATCAAGCCCTCAGCCAAGCAAGAAAACACACAGACGTCATATGTGACGCCAGTCTGAGAGCAGAGCTCTTCCCAACCCCCCCCCAGAGACGCAGATAGACACACAGTGCGCTTTTCAATTAAACTAAGTCTTTGCATCTAAACAATTAGACTTAAATCAGGTCGCGTGCTGTCTTAATCACCAGAAACACATAATCACAAAATATGACATGTGCAGGTACAATTTATAGGGTTGAAGTTGTATCTCATCTGTGGATCCACCGCCCGAAACGCGCGTAAATAAGAACAGAAACCAGCGATTATTATGTAATGACAACACAAAGTTCAAAAGAGCATTCTTTCCGAGATTGTATCCACATGATCGCTACTTCCAGCTGTGCAAGATGATGCGCGCACCGCTGACCGAGTCCATGCAGGAAATGTGATTTCCCGACATTTACCAAATCAACAATTGACCAGAGACTATGAGTGCAAACATATTATTCTAAATCATTTTAAATCGTAATTTTACCTGTCATTACCAGCTCGGAGAGTGATCACTCGCTGCTGTTCCCTCAGCCGGGTCCCATCACTCTACAGTCACCTCTCTCTCCCCCCACCCTCTCTCTCTTTCCATCGATGATTCAGAATTCCACACTGGCTACTGCGCATGCGTCACATCCATGACAATATAGCCTATGATTCAATCGCGAATATAAATAACCAGGCATGAGTGTTGGAAGAGAAAGACATTCATTCAGGATTCAACATTCATGCCTAGATGGACAAATGGATCAATGAATGGATGTATATATATATATAGATATAGATATAGATATGGATATATATAGATAGATAGATAGATAGATACATTGATAGATGGATGGATGGATAGATAGATGGATGGATAGATAGATAGATGGATGGATGGATAGATAGATGGATAGATTGATAGATGGATTAATGGATAGATATATATATATAGATGGATAGATAGATAGATAGATGGATGGATAGATAGATAGATGGATATATGGATGGATGGATATATAGATAGATAGATGGATGGATGGATATATAGATAGATGGATAGATGGATAGATGGATATATGGATAGATGGATAGATGGATAGATGGATAGATGGATAGATGGATGGATGGATAGATAGATGGGATAGATTGATAGATGGATTAATGGATAGATATATATATATATAGATGGATAGATAGATAGATAGATGGATGGATAGATAGATATATAGATAGATAGATAGATAAATGGATGGATATATATAGATAGATAGATAAATAGATAAATGGATAGATAGATGGATGGATATATAGATATATGGATAGATAGATAGATGGATAGATAGATGGATGGATGGATAGATGGATTGATAGATGGATGGATGGATAGATAGATATATAGATAGATAGATAGATATATAGATGGATGGATTAATACATTGTTAGGTAAGGCAAGGCAAGGCAAGTTTATTTATATAGCACTTTTCAACACAAGGCAATTCAAAGTGCTTTACAAAAAATGAAAGACATTAAGAAAAAGGCATTTAAAATCAGTCATTAAAAAGAAAAGCTAATAAAATAAACATTAAAAGAAAAAATACATGGATAAAAGTTTCAGTGCAGTCTAAGATATGAATAGTTCAATTAAACATTAAAAGAAAAAGTACATGGATAAAAGTTACAGTGCAGTCTAAGATATGAATAGTTCAATTAAAAGCAGCGGACAAAAAGAAAAGTCTTCAGCCTGGATTTAAAAGTAGTCAGAGTTGCAGGTAGGACATGTGTCCATAGAGATGAAGGGCAGGAACACTTTTTATTCTCAGGGGAGCAAGTCATAACACTGTCAGTAGAAAGTCAAGGGACAGCTCTGGGTCTCTATCATTTATTTTAAATAAATGATATAGATACATATTTTATCATTTACCAATACAATATTCAAAATTAGTAATTTCCTAATTTAGCCTTTTTAAATGGGACATCATGCCAAATCCACAGCAAGTTCATCATCAATGCAACACACACACGCACGCACACACACGCACTTTCTCACACACAAACCATTTTCCAGGATTCCAGTCACATTCCTGTACAGTTTATTTTTAGCACTGTGAGTGACGTATAGGGCAGTGTTAGTCACTCTCTCTGGGCTCCTCTTGAGGAAGGTATGACCTAAAAGAGATGAACCACATCACGACTCAAAACGTGTTTATGCATTATTCATTCAGAGTCTGCAAAAAATGGCATGAACTTATTTAACTCATTTTCAAGTTATTTTTTTGTCCTTTCTTTTCCCTCCTTTTTTTGGGTATACTTCTATATTTACTGGATGAGAAGGGGTTTAAAATAATACATAGCATTCAAGATTTCAACACCAAATATTCACTTGCTCCAAGTCATTATTTATTATGTGAGATAATACAAAATAATGAAAATGGTTGTCAATAATTGATATTTAATCACCACTCAAGCAATGACAAAACAAAAACACATTTTTCACATGTTTGCAATGTTTTTTTCACTGCGAAAGTGGCCTGAACATTTTAGAAAAATGTAGGACAATTTTGGTTTCTGGCATAATTAAATGTAGGTAACATAAACTGTGTAATAATTTCAATGGCTCTTTAGACGGTGCTATTATTTGTAACTCTGGATCACAGGTATGATCTGATCTGGTAAAGTCAGGCTGGAAACTCAACATTGAGCGCTCATTGGCAGGTTTGGAAAAGCATGTTCCTGTAGCAGGCACATCAGGAGAGGTTTGTTTGTCCACAAGATGAGCTCAACTAGAGGGAGCACAGGAAATGAGAAGGTGGCAGCAGCTGTCGCCATGACAATGATCTCTACAATATTTCTAAGCTGAAGAGATGCTGTTATGTCTCTAAGGAGGGGTTATGTTGCAGTGTGCGTCACAGGAACATTTCAAATTGCTGGTATGAAGACGTGTAATTTCCTTTATGTAAACAAACTACTTGTATTGAGGTTAATTTATTTGTGTTGTGTCGTCACGTGGTTGCTTTGAACACAGGAGTCTCTAATTATGAGAGGTCTTTTTTGTTAATTAAAACAAGAGTATTTTTAACTGCAACTGTACATGAGTCATGACCATTGGGTTGTACTAGAATTAGACATATAATTAGTTGATTGTTTATATGGTAATGCATTTGAATTTGCAATAGCTAGGGTGGCAGGTCCAAATGTATGAATCACATACAGCTGATGATATGTGAAGGACTAGAGACCCATCCAGGGTGTTTACCTGCCTTTGGTCTGATGTATGTTGGAATAAGCCCCCGGCCCCTCCATGTGATCCTGAATGGTCCAACATAAAAGTAACAAATGCCGATTGCACATACGTGAAAACATGACATGCTCCTGGAAAGTAGCGAGGCTTCTCTCATTAAGTAGAGGTGCTCAAATCAAAATAGGACTATTTGAAGTAAGAGCCTTTAACATAATTCACAAGTCTTGTGCGTTTATACCTAATGACATTCTATTACAGCATTCACTTCACAAAGTATTGCATGCACAGTGGCAAATATTTTTCAAAGAGATGTTTGTATGTACATAGCTGACCTTTTATGAGTAGATATTTGTTGAAAGAATTCCCTCTATAAGATTTGTTTAATCAGCTCACACATAGATGACTTTGTTAGTGAGAACTGCTTTGAGGCCAAAGAAAATAATAGATCTTTACCTTCTCATTTTTAAGATAAATAAGATATAATTAAAAAGAGCTGAGTTAATTGCTCTTTAGTATTTGTTAATCAAACATCATAATACAATGTGTGTGTGTGCGAACACATCGCAGCATACTAATGTGCTTTTGTTTGGAAGAAAATGTTCTGTCATTTCTCTCTCTCTCTCTCTGTCTCACACTACACTGTGTGTACAAGCTGAGTATCTCAGAGCAGAGAAAGGCGGTTACTATGGCGACGTGGAAAGGTCACCTTCAGGAAGTTCTCTGTGAGCGTGTGCAGAATGCCAGTTGGATAATCAGGCTTCCTGTAATGACTGATAACAGACCACAGCTCATTAGAGAGGAGGAGAGAGACGGGTGGAGGGGAACGGGGGAGATTATTAGACAGAGAGCAAAGACACAATAGAACATCTAACTAATGGTATGCCATGCTTTTAATGTGGAATCCAATGCAGTATGCACACTTTATTCATACATAAATTGATGCTAATCTATTTAGCAGAAAATGTAAAAAACTAAAAGCTATGACTAGAACGAATGAGATGCTATATGTTGACTATCCTCTGTAATTCAGATGGATGTTGGTACTAGACAGGTAAATAACTTGCTAGACATGAGAAAAAAAGACTAATTTATCTACTAATTATTTTGTAATATAGGCCATACTTGCCTGGTTGGCAGATCATTTAGAAACAAGAGGACTTAGCTGCCATGGAGGGCGTTGCTACCTGGCTGCCTGGCAGGACGCTGTGACCTACATTAGCAGATATACTGCAGCTACAATGCGACAAGTACTGTGGTTTGACAAGAGCAAAGGCAATAATAATCAGTAACACAAACCTGAGCGGTAAAATATGAATTATAATAAACTGGAGGTTCATTTGTCCGTACTTCTTTTACAAGGCCATTGGAGCATGGCTTCTACCAATCCAGTGGCACAGTGTCTTCCCTACCAAACTGAATATATTTTGTATAAAAAGTACAACTTTATGGGCATTTACTCTTGGTTTCAACTCCCATGATAAAACAATATATGTTTTTCGTCACTGCTCTGAAACATTATGGACTTGAGCAATTACGCTTGTATTACTAAGTATTATTTTACTGTTTCTATGCGCTACTTTTTAAAGTATCGGCAAGGTTCCTTTGTAGGTTTTCTTCATTCTTAACTTCACCCATGACTTCCCTCCTCGCATGCTACTGTAGATTACCTTCAGACCAAAATACACATGGGACTGACTCCTAAATAATATGTTATAGCAAAGCCTCAAATAGGATTAGGGATTATTTTTTGTCTTTATACACTTCTTAAGCAATTGTCAGATCAAAATGCCAACATTTCATAGCTTTCCATGGAGAAATAAGTAAATTAATGCACAATTATTTGAACAAAGAATATATATTGTTATGATTGTGTGTTCTCTGGTTATGGATCCAATTGGCACACTATTATGATGGAATGGATCGTGCTAGAAATAACATTTACCATACCATTTAGGCAGTTCAATATAGCAGACTATGTATTATGTATGTGAAGCTGTAAATACTAGCAATGTAGCCAGTAAGTACTTCCTACTAACAAGGCTGACATCTACTGGGCATCATGGGTTCTGCATCAACAGTACATACATGCTGTGCAGATGGGAGAGTGTAAAGTTAGTTTAACCACACCAAGTGCAATACTACTATGTTTTGCCTCATATGGGTAAAGAATGCATTTGAACTGCTTTTTGTATTTATTATGTGTGCATAATACAATAAATATAAGGATAAGGAAATGCACCAACAAATACATTTTGACATGTCTCTTTTGAACATAAGAATATACTTTCAACTGTTAAACAAATACGGTTCATATTACATACATATAAGCACCATTACATGCCTCACCTATTGTACAACCAATGAATGATCCATCAAATGAATG